GAAGGAACTGTATCAAGTGCTGAGGAGCAAGGATATCTCCTTGAGGATTAAGGTGTGCCTGACACAAGCCATGATATTTCCAATTGCCTCGTATGCATGTGAGAGCTGGACAATGAATAAGGATGACCAAAGAAGAGTTGATGCTTTTGAGTTGTGGTGCTGGTGAAGAATGCTGAAAGTACCATGGACTGCTAAAAGAACTAACAGATCTGTCCTGGAGGAAGTGCAGTCAGAATGCTCCTTGGAAGCAAGAATGGCCAGACTTCATCTCAACTTCATCTCACCTATTTTGGTCATGTTGTAAGAAGGGACCATTCCCTGGAGAAGGATGTCATGCTTGGTAGGGTGGAGGATCAACGAAAGAGGGGGAGGCCTTCAACGAGATGGATTGACACAGTGGCTGCAATGATGGGCTCAAGAATAGCAGGGATTGTGGGGCTGGCGCGGGATCGGGCAGTGTTTCGTTCTGCTGTGCATGGGGTCGCTATGAGTCGGAAATGACTCGACGACACTTAACAACATAACAACAACATACTTACAGCACCTGGGCAATGTCCAGGTTAAAACGTCTGGTTGCTGTTGTTGTTGTGTGTAGGGAGTTAGAAATCTTATGTCCAGAAGAGGGAGCTGGACTGAGGACCATTAGTAAGTAAACACTGACTGAAGCCACTAGAGAGAATGACTTTGTTTTGGGAGAGTGTGTAGAGTGAGGAGTGATGGGGCTAACAGCTGAATTCTGGTAAATATTGACATCTAAAGTCAGGAGAAGGAAAAAACCTGAGAAGATGGCTGGGCTCCAAGGGACTGAAGAGAGAAGGGATGAGGGTAGGATGGTAGTGAAGAATCTATTGTTTAATAAGGTTGAATAAGAAGGAAAGAAAAGAGAGGGCTGAAGTAAGATGAGGATGCAGAGTGGAGGGAGGTATTTTATTTGTTAGGTCTACAAGAAGATGAATGAAGAGGTCAAAGTTAGAAATCGGAGATTGGGAATGACCAATGGAGGCAGGAAAGAATAGGATCTAACACACACCTGGAAGGATTAGTTTTAAAGACTTACTCTTATTCTTTTCAGAAAAGAGGAAGGCTGTCAGAAAGAATTTAATTCAGTGGTTCTCACATTGGAATCATGGAGGGAACATTTTAAAAAATGCCAGTAGCTGGGTGCTACCTAGGGAGGGTCTGGTTTAATTAGTCTGGGGTGGATCCTGGTATGTTTTCAAAGCTTCCTAAGTGATTAAAATCTGCAGTCAAGGTTTAGAACACTGGTTTAATTGTAGGTAACTTCATAGATTGGTGATAATGGGATGAGATTTGAAGAAGCTCACCCTTGATAAAGATTGGAAGAATAGGGAGTGGTAAGTTTGACATAGGTGAATTGAGGAATGGGAAAAGAGAGGGAGGTTAGAAGGGAAGGGAACTAATACCATCTTCATGAATTTTCTATGCTGGCGCTGTCCTTGTTATGTGTGAGAGAGAAACACCTCACAATAACCCTGTGATGTAGCAAAGTTCTTGACCAGATAAGGTCTCTTTTTTCAGTGAAGAAAAAAAAAAATCCAGTTATTTCATCCTATAGACTAGGAAATACTTTTGTAAACGTTGAGAGTAGCCTTTCCTGGGAGAGTGGGCACTGGAGAGAAAGCTATCATTATGACAGGAGATTGGAGTGTTCCTGGTTTTCTCAGATGGGCTGCAAAAAGCTGTTAGTTCTGGTCTGGGATGTGGGTACGCTACTGGGATCATCTGCACCTGAGAGATGGCTGCAATTGCTAATCACTCACAATGAGACACTTGGGTGGCTACCATGTGGTCACATCACTTGTGAAGCTTCCATGTTCCAGCAGAGTATTAAAGATTCACCTTTCTCAGCAGCAGTGCTGTGAAAGGGTACTCTTTATGACAGCACAGACCTACACTGTCTGGGCTTGACCTGAGTCCACTGCCACTTCTTGAGCCCTTCCCATATTCTCCTGGAGATTCAGCTTCTTGGGGTTCTTGAGAGGCCTCTGTCTGCTGAGGACCTACCTCATCCCTGCTGCTTTCAGCTAGTTAAGTAGGAGAAATGGTAAAAGAGCTTTAACTGATGGTCCTAATGTGTCACAAAGCAGAACTTCCCCCATAGAGTTTTCTTGGCTGTAATCTTTATAGAAGCAGTTCACTAGGTCTTTCTTCACTAGAGCTGCTAGGTGGGTTTGAACCGATAAATTACAAACCGTTTGTGCTATCCAGGAACCTTCTCAAAAGCACTAGGAGTCTCCTAGACACATAACAAAGAGAGGAAACTTGATTGGGAATTGACTGTGTTACAAGAAGTGTGTAGAGTGGGTTCCTTTTATTACTTTGTTGTTGTTGTTGTTTGCTGTCGAGTCGGCCCCGACTCATAGCGACCCCTCCTTGGGTTTCCGAGGCAGTATCACTACGGAAGTAGGATTGCCCAACCTTCCTTCCGAGGAGTGGCTGGTGGGTTTGAACCGCCTGCCTTCTGGTTAGCAGTCAAGTGCCTTAGCCACTATGCTACCAGAGCTCCCTTTAGTAGTCCTTTTTTAACTAAACAGGAATTGAGGCCTTGAAGGAATTAAGAAACTTTCCCAAGACCACAAAACTAGGAGCTGTGCATTAAAAGAACAGTCTGTTCCGCTGTGTGTCCTTCAGGCTCTGTCCTCTATCACAGAGGTTGGCCCCCTTTGGAAAACCCTGGTTGGACATCACCTCAGTGTCCTCCTCCCTTCTAAGGAATCAGGCAAGTCTCTTGAGCCCTAGAGCAGATGGGCCCTTCTCTTTTGGTCTCCTGTTCTCCCTCTGTGAATTAGCATGTAAAATCCAGATGGGTTTCCATGCTAGGGGTGAGGGCAGAGGGTAGTCCAAAGAATAGCTGTATAGGACACATCACACCAATCAGATTTAATATTGGACCTCTCCTCCAACATCCAGTGTCACATAATTGACAGAGACAAATTACGTCCAGAGATGAAATAGACAGCTCCTAGTTCCACCCTCAGAGAAGTGAAAGAAGGGATTGAGTTTATTCCCAGCCTGATGTCTGATATCTGTTAATCCTGAAGCTTCATCTGCTGACATCCTGATTTAAGATTTCTAGTTTTAGATGAGACCAGTCTATAGAATTATTGTATTCTGGCGTCAGAAGTCCTGTTTCTCATTCTTTGGGTTCTTTTGAGGTCTATGAAGCAGGCTAGCATTATGTGAACACAGTTCATATTAACCCACCGCATAATCAGATAGTGCCATAGGTGGCCATGACAGCCCCAGCACTGTGTAAAATTAAAGTTGTTGTGGAGCACTGGGGTGCTCTGGCTAGGCTGGACACACTCCAAGTTCTCCCTACTTCCCTTTATCTTTCCCCAGTTCTCCTGTCTGGCACATGATGGGCTCTAAGTGAATGAGCACATGAATGAATGCAAGGACTCCTGGTGATTCTGCACAGTCCATGCAGTTTGGGTGCTGAGTCATTTGCTGACCTATGCTGTGAGAATGGGGAATGAGGAGAGGCACAGATTTGGGTGAAGGAGAAGGGAAGTGTTTCTTAAGGTTCTCTATGTTTGAATGACCATAATGCAGATAAAGATGGCTCTGTCCTCATCTTCAGTCAGTGTAGAATGGGTGACTAAAAGAGACCAGATTAGGTCTCAGGAAAAATTTTTCATCAGAGAGGAGCAGAAATCCTCAAACAAATGAGGAAGAGAGGCTGGAAGTCTCCTTTCCTGGGACTTCTTAATCATAGGCTTGGGTGAGGAGGTATCAGATTGGAAGGTGGAGGTCTTCGAGATGTTCACAGGGCCTTGCACTGCCTGGGAAGAACTGCGGGAAGGTGCTTTTTAAGTGACACTATTCTAGGTCCGACTCGATGGCAAATAACAACAACAACAACAACATTCTAGGTCAAGTGCTGGTTGCACGGCAATAATACTAATGATAACATAATAGTAATTCCTTTGCTTTCACTCACTCCAAGGAGAAGAGGGACTTCTCACAGCCAGATATAGTGGAGGGTCACTCTGATACGTTCAGCTCTATTGTCTCACTTCATGAACCTCAACTGGTTTCTTAGTGTGCTCTGAAGCAGAAATAATGCCACAATTGTGTCTTATATTTCTTGATTCCCTACAATCCCTGTGTAGTACCCACAACTCCAAGGTCTCTAAAACTCCTAGGGTCAAGCCCTGCCTACTTGGAGTTAGAGAACTCCACTGGCCAACGCCATTTTTACTCTAGACAGTTTTTTGGGATAGGGCCCTTCCCCTCCCCCATTCAAATTCCCCGGCGCCTTCGACGTCTTCCCTTCCCCCGCTCCCCCAGGGCAGGGTTCCCTTTGTAATTAATCCCAATGCTCAAACCAGAGGGGAGGAAAAAAGTGTTAATGAGGGAGCGTCGCAGACTGACTGGGCGGTCTTCGCTCGCAGCTAGAACACCAAGTAATTAAATTATTTTTGGAAGGGGGAGACATGGTGGTGATGGTGTCAGGGAAATCCCCGTATACCTGGGGAGGAAAATGGGAGCTTCTCTACCCACTAATTGAAATCATAGATGACCCTCCTTTCTCGCAGCCCTAGGGGAAAATCAATCTTCCCACGTTCCAGATTCCGCTGGATTTCTTGTAGCCGGGATTGTGACCCTATAGCAAACAGCACGGCCATCCCCGGGGTCTGAGGGCTCCAACTCCGACAGGGAGGTCGGGAAAAACATCCCCAAGAGGGCTGCGGGTTGGGCCAAGGGCAGAGATCCAGGCCTTCCTCTCCCCACAGCCCCAGGGTCGATTCCCAGGACCCGGGTGGGCCGCGGGGGACCTGGAAGGGAAGGGCTGGGGGAGCGACGACTCCGGGAAGAGCCGGGCCGCAGACAATGGACGCGGCGGCGGGAGGGGCGACGACTGAAGGAACAGCCGGGAGGTGGCACCCGGGAGCGCGCGCTCCCCCGCCCCTTGCTCCCCCCTCTCCCCCGCTCTCGTCCCCTCCCTCTCCACCCCTTACCCCCCCTTCGCCGCCGGCTCCCGATCTGTTCCCTGATTCCTTGATCCTGGGTCCCGCCATGGGAGCCTGAGTGCCCCTGATTCCCCCCTGGCCCCCGTCCCCGGGGCCTTGAGGGGGAAGAGGTAGCCGTTTGGGACGGAGCAGGGGTGGCCAGGCTCTGGAGCCCCCCTCAACACCCCCTATCGCCCGCGCTGCCCGTCCGGGAGCGCGGAGTTCGGAGCGACCCGGAGCGCTGCGGATACAAAGACGCCGGGCCGAGTGGGGCGCCCGCCGAGCCCACCCGGCAGCTCGCAGCGGCGGGTGAGTGGCGGGCCGCGGGGGCGCGGGCAAAGTTTGCAAAAAAAAAAAAAAAAAGAAAGAGAAACGGTGGACAGTCGTGCGAGGGGGCCAGCGAATGCCGGCCTTAGCGAGCTGTATGGCTTACTGGGGAGGGGGAGCTCGAGGCGACCCCCTTCCGGTCCTCTCTCCCATCTCACAGCGAGCGGCCCCCCTACTTTGGGGAGGGGGCGGAGCCCGGGCCTGGTGAGCCGGGGACTTTCCTGGGCCCCGGGCCCAAGGCCCGGGCGGGGGCCGTAGTGATCCTAGGGGAGCTGGGTTGAAGCCGGAGACTAGGAGTGTGTGTTGGAGGTGGGGGGAGAGGCGGGGGCAGGGTCAGAGTCTGGAGGATTGGAAGCCGACGGGTGTCTGGGGATGCATAATAGCTTAGGAGTGTGAGGAGGAACGGGGCAGGTACACCCCTGAGGAGTGTGGTGTGGAGTCTGGGGAGCCTGCCGGGGAGAGCAGAGAGGGGTGTGTGTGTGCGTGCAACCAGAGGATGGGGCTGGCGGGCAGGAGACCTGGACACTGTATGGAGGCCGAGGGGACAGGCGCCGGCATCCTTTTCCCCACTCATCTTTGCCGGTTCGGGCGGGCAGTGGGTCCTGCATTCGTGAGTGCCGAGGGATTGGTGAAGGACCAGTGTGCATGATTCTTTGTTTTTGTGTGTGTGCACGCCTTGACGTTTTGTGTGTTCCTGCAGGTGGGTCCCTGGGTTTAGATGGGTAGGTAGGTGTTTGTAGGTGTTTCTCCCTGCTGTGGAGTCCAGGGAGTGGCTGGCCATGTAGCTGCTGTGTATTTGGATGTTACTTATGTGTAAGCTCAGGGGAAGGGGTGTGTGTATGTGTGTATGTACTGGGAAAGTGGTTTATGGGGAAGAGGTGCATATGTACTGAGGAAGGTGGGTATATAAGAGCAGAATGGGGCAGTGGAATAGATGTGTGTGCGCCTGTGCACTGGGAAAGGGATGTGTGAGTATATCTGTGTTCTCGTGTGTATTACCTGTGTTGATGGGTAGGCACCTGGTTTGCATGTTTCTGAGTGTGTGTTGGGGCTGTCTCTTATCTCTGCAGTCAGGTTTCCCTGGCAGCAAGCCCAAAGGGTGGGTTGTCTGATGGAGGATTCTAGGCTTCTTAGAAGACCCTGCTTGGGTTCCAGGTTAGTGCCTTAAATACCTGAAATCTCTGGGTGGGAGTGCATGGCTGTCTTTTGAGGAGCCTGATTTTGGACATGTATTTCTGGAGGAGGGTGTATTTTGTGGAGAACAGGGAACAGAGGTTCTGGTTTTAGTTCTGGAGAAATATGGGGATTTGGAGGAGTCAGGGAGAAGAATAAGAGGGACTTCACTCCCCATCATCACAGGTTGGTTCTAAGTGCTTGGAGAGGCTACATGCTTGGCTTCCCAGCTCAAGTTCAAATACTCCCTCCCACAGCCTCCCCCCCCCATCCCCACCCCTACTCCAGACTTCTTGGAAAACTCTCTTGGAGTTTGCGTTAGTCCTCTGACTCTGCCTTGCCTCTAGGATCCTAAAGTTTCTGAAGAGTCTTGGGATTTTAGTGTGTGGGATGGAGGCAGGAGGAAGGAGCAGCTTGGAGGGAATACCTCTGGTGGGGAACAGCCTTGGCTTCCCATCCATAGGTGTCGTAGAGGACCTGGGTGAGGGCAGTGGCAGGGAATATTTCATTAGATGTCCATGCAAATGTTTCTGTGTGGTTTATCACTTGGTTTTCTTTTTTTCTGGAAAGAATCATGATTAGTATGAGACTGTTGGTATGGACAAGGTCTGAAGATGAGGGTATGGACAAGGTCTGAAGATGAGGGATAGGGCTGAGCCTATGAGAGGGCAAATTCTCTTTGCTGGGGAGGGGGCAGGCACCCTATCAAAGGCTGACTACATGTTAATTGGGTGGGAAAGCAGCAACTGTCCCAGAAATGGATGCATTTCTTCCCAGAGTAGCAACTACTACCTCCTTCCCCTCCTTTTTCTCTTCTCCTTTCTCTTTTGGGGTGAAGGGAAAGGGGCTGGACATCTTCTTTATGATACAAATCTTGTTCCCCCATCCTCACTCTTTTAGGTGTATTCTTGCTGTTAGCGGCTAGATCCCAACATTCAATTTTAGGAGCTGAGGCTGTGATGCCCATTAGGGTCTTTGGGCAATTGGTCTGTTCCCTCTTTGGTCTTCAGGTCTCCCCACCCTTCCTAAGAACTGGGGATAAGAGTAGTGGGGATTGGAAAATGCTGGGATCAGGAATAGTGAGCAGAGTGGGAAAGGACTGAATTTTTATAAATGTAGAATACCCCAAACTGGACACCTGTCTCTGATGGTTAGGACTCCCTGGGCTAGCAGGGCACTTCCATCGAAGATGTGCTCTGGCCTTCTGGGGTACCTCAACCACTCTATATACATTCATCCAATGTATGGCATATTATACCAGTGGGGATTCTCTTCCAACGGAGAGGAATTATGGTCAGACAGTAGGAAGTGCCGTCCCTGAAAGTACTTCCAGATTGGGAACAAGTAGCCATGTTAGCCCCTCCTTCCCCATTGTCTTGCTCCTGCCTCCTGTTTTCTCTAATCCTTCCTGGGCAGGCTTCTCTGATATGTCTCCTTCTGCTCCTGATTCTTGTAGGTCCCAGGAAAGGTCCCCCTCCCCTGACTCTAGAGCAGGACAGACTGCTCATCTGGATGCCAAGAGATCCTTCCAATTAGAGGGAGATATAACTTGGCTAGAATCTTTATGGGGAAGAGGAACAAGATCAGGGACTTCTCTCATCCCCTCTGAGTTTTAGAGAGGCCAGTCTTCTTTTGCTTATTTTTCCTTCAACAGCTCTCCACAATGCCAGGCCAAAGGGAGGAGTAGACAGACTTGGTTGGAGCTAGTACTTAATAGCTGTGTAACCTTGAGCAAGTTATTTAACCCTATTCCTCAGCCTCAAAGGTGTCTTAAGGCACCGTCCTCCAACCCAGGCTGAGCCATTCCACGGTGCAACCAGGTCCTCCAATTGACTCCTTCCCTGGGTTTCAACTTGCTTTCAAGTTCTGGCTTTGCTACTTCCTAGCTCTGTGACTTCAGACAAAATAGGTATCTCTTCTTGAAGCCTCACTTGTAAAATGGAGTTAATAATAGGTTCTACTTCTTTGCTTTAAGGAGCCCTGGTGGCACAACAGCTAAGTGCTGGTCACTATCAGAAAGATTAGTGGTTTGAACCTACCTAGGGAGCTCTGGTAGCGTAGTGCCTAAGGCATTTGACTGCTAACCAGAAGGCTGGTGGTTAAAACCCACCAGCCACTCCTTGGAAGGAAGGTTGGGCAATCTACTTCCTTAGTGATACCGCCTCGGAAACCCAAGGAGGGGTCACTATGAGTCGGATCCGACTCAACAGCAGTGAGAGTGAGAGAGTGTCTCTGCAGGAGGAAGACCTGGCTATGTTGTTGTTACATGCCGTCCCATAAAAATTACAGCCTAGGAAACCCTATGGGGCAGTTCTACTCTGTTAGATAGGTCACATTGACTCGGCAGCACCAACAGAAACAACCTATTCTTCGGTTTATGAGGATTACATGAAATAATAGAACATATAGGAAGCATTCAGTAAATGTTTGGATTCTGATTGCTTAAAGGAGAGGAGGGTACCTGGTAGTGGAACAGGAGGGCTAATCTTTGGTTTACCTTTCTCCTGGCAGGGGCACTAAGACAGGCTCCTTGCTGGCAGGGGCACTAAGATAGGCTCCTTGTTTTCAGTAGTGCAGATGAGCATAAACACGTCAATTCACTGTGACTGAGAGAGCTCTGTATGAAGGGACTACTGGAGTAGAGAGGAAGAGTGCTTTGCCCAGGTGGAATGCTAGAGAAGTTACCTGGAAGAAAGTGCCCTTAACTGGATTTTAAAGGATGAGTTAGGGGATGAGGGACTGAGAGAATACTGCTGATACAGACCTAGCATTAAATTTTGAAGTGTGTGCTGGGGGTTTGGTCTCAGTTCCCCTGCCTATAAAATGAAGTTAATCATCTCTTTCCTTCCTTGTCCTAAGAGGCTGTTTGAGGTGGAAGTAGTAGCAGAGAGAGGAGAGGCTGGGATAGTAATGCCTGTTCTCAGGTCTGGCGTGGGGATGGAACATATTTTTAACTTACTCTTTCCTGGGCAGCTCCTTCTTGTATGTATCTACTATCATCTTTGGGGGTACCCATCTTCCTGTTTTACTTGGCATCAACTTCCTCTCTCTGAATCACCTGACATTTCTCCTCTCACCCTTTCCAGGTGGGTAACACTGTTTTGTGAGGAGATTTTAGCAGCTCAGGTGAAGAAAGGGCCTTTGGAATAAGTCCTATTTAACAACCCCCCCGCCCCTGTTAACCCACGAGCAGCCCTCCCCTTCTTTATCCTGTTTCTTGGTGATCCAACTTGGACAGTCCTCTGTTCCTCTCTCTGTTGTGATCTGATCTGGATAGAACTGAGATGGGTGAGGGAGAATCTTTATATTCCTTTCCTGCACCCTGCTTGGTACCAAGGAGGAGGCAGAGGCCCTCGATTGTGGAGCTCTTTGGAAATGAGGTGTTGCTGTGCCTGTCTGATGCCCCTGGCGAGGCTGGTAATTACAGACATGACAGCTGGGAACGAGTTTGGGAGAAGCATTTGGGAGAAGCGGGTTTGGAATCAGCAGAGCTGAGGATATCCTGGCAATCAGGGTGGGGCAGTGAGAGGGGAGAGTGGGAAGAAGCTGGGGACTGGGGTGGGGCAAGCGGCTTGGGGCCCCTTCCCCTGCCACTCCACACACAGCTGGGCTTAGAGCCTAGAGGAGTGTGGGAGGTGATTGGGGCCCAGGCCATGCCTCACTGTAAGTGTGCAAAGAGGGAGGGGAGCAAAGGGGCTGGGGATCTAGGAGCCCCTGAGGAAAGAAGCGGAGAGTAGAAAGAGGGGTTTTGGCTGCTTTCACATGCAGGCAGTGCCTGGGTGTGGTCTAAGTTAAGGAGAGGCCACATT